GTGTTATTAGTCTTGCAATATCTTCTTGATTCTTCATGAGTAACCTATACCATTCTTTCATCAGGAAACATCTTTCCTTTGGGATAACACAATGTTATTCAAAGCTACAGTATACAGTATATAACAATGCTTTTCACAATTGTACGTGAAAAGCATTGTTACAGTATATACTGTATACTGTAGCACTGAATAACATTGTTATCAAGTTTGTCCATTAGTGACTAATATACAGGTAGGGAAACCAGAGCCTGAAATTAGTGGCCTGACATTAGCCATTTTCCTAACAAATTATTGTTAAATTCAACCAATTAAGCTGCAATCCCCCCAAATGTGCCCTACTTTAGTATTTTAGCTGTGTAACACCAGACAATGTTACTTGTCAAGGGGAGAGCATTGCACATTTCAGGGTTAACCAAACTAACTGTGAAATTGAATGTGTCTTGTTATCATACAGTATTATGCTGCAATGTACCCAAATGTGCTCAATGCAACCTAGTATTGTATTACTTTTACGTTGACATAATTTACCTAATTTGACACAGGGCGTGCCGTCAAAATGAAATCGAAAAAATGTCCAACCAAATTGGATCACATTTCATTTTGGTCGGATGTTCATTCATGCTAATTTTGACTCAGGGGCACAATGCAGCTTATAGCATGATTGGCTTCATTTTGTTTGATGTACCGTAGTGATTAACTGGCATATTTACTGCAAATTGAAACTTAGGGAAAATGTGTGGGATTATACAGTACCAGTAGGAATAAATAGTTGTTTTTTTCAACGTGTTTCTCCTTAGATGCAAACAACTAGGGATATGAGCCGATTAATTGGTACGGCCGATATTTGGCGTTTTCAAAATAATCGGTAATCGGCAGATTATTTTTTATAATCGGCTATTTGCCAATATTCGCAATTTTTTCGGTTTTTTTTAAGAAAAATAACTCTATAATCTAGTAATCTACACTCCGTCTTGTTTTTGACACTTTTGTTGTGCGTATTTAATCCCATATCCATTAATTAATTTGACTTGTACAGTGACCGATAACTGTCCAATATGAGTAAATATTTTCCGGAACACACTAAAACTAGTACGTCAATTTGTGGCGTATACACAAGTATTAAAAGTTGTCAAAAAACCGTTATCCGGCACTTGTACCCCGGTACACAGAAATATCGGCCACAGCCGATTAATTGGCCGATTATTTTTTTATATCGGCTCCAATATATTGGATCGGCGAATTGACTTTTTTCTGGTATCGGCTCATCCCTACAAACAACGGTAGCTAATTTGTACATTTCATTTCCAGTGAATGAACACTGAAAAATGCACCCGATGGCACTTCGTTTTGTATATTTCATTTCCGGTTAATGAAAACGGATGCACACCGATTACACTTTGTTTTGTACATTTCATTGCAGTGAATACACACCCAATATGAATGAATTAACGTGATACATTCTGAGAAAATAGTTAATGGGAAAAAGTTAATTAAAACATTCTTTGATATAATAATATACGCAATGCACTTTCTCGTTAGAAAAAATGAAAATCTTCCAGTGGACCCAGTTGGGAAAGCCCCTTCTACTTCAATTGGGAAGAGTCCGTCAAACGGACAGTATATGGTCTAGCTAACACCCTGAAATTTATGCCCCAAATCAAGTGACACGCCCAAAATCCAGATATTGTCAAGGTGGTAGACTCGTAATGTTTAAAGCAATTGGAACACCACAGTTTAGGGACGGACCATTTGGTTTTTGATGGGGGAGGGAGGCACCTTTTTGAAAGTGCTCGATGTTTTTCTGACCTTATTTGCTCCACACAATATTTTTTCATAATTTTTGTAAAAATTGGTTTTACAAACTTGCTGTGCTTGATATTTTTTTCATCAGCTTGAGGCATGCCTAATTTTTTTTTCGTATTTGTGCCCCCCATCAAAAATCAAATGGTCCATCGCTTAGAGACATATCAACATTTAATGTCATCCTAATGTTTCAAATTTGTAATTATTAAATCAGGTAATTTGCTCTTAGAACAGAAACTGGTGTTATTAAATATTCCATCTATGTATACTGGCCAGCGATTCAAAGGTCAATTAATTGTAATAATTAAATGAGTCTATAAATTTATATTTGGTCATATATAATTTGTCATACGTACCTTAACTGTTGTTTTTTTCCACGTATGAAACGCTTTATTAGCTTTAAGAACAGCATCTTGTGCTTCGGGCTCGCCGACATTAGCTACACTGCCTAGAATTTCGCCATTTGCTGGGTTTTTGACATCAAATGTCGCATTATCAGCAGCCTTGCACCACTGCCCACCGATATATGCCAGACGTTTCTCCAGATATGGCAAGATAAACGCTTTATTCGATAGTGCTCGAGAATAGGACATCTTCGTTCACTTCAGCGAGTAAAATGCGCGGTGTTTACCGCTTTATAATACGTACAGGTATTAAAACGTTGCATTGTTTGCAGTGAAACGTCTGTGAGTGAGGTCAGATTTCCACATGTGAGATGTGTGAGAGCAATTTACCAGATGTGGTGACAAAAAATTACCAAAACAGACGAAAATTTACCATGTGGCAAGGTTTTCATTCAAATGATCCAATATCGTTCCTTCCCTCAAATTAAACTCCCACATGCTGTGAGGCAAAGAGTCTGGTTGTCTCCCCCTAACCTGTGCCCTAATTACCTAAAAGCTAGTTTTGCATTTTGCTATTTTTGCATTCCTAGTGGCCAATGCACACTCCTCCCCCTCTCAACTGTGGGGATGAGGTTGGGTGAATTCTCTGTTAAATTAAGCCTCCATGCCAAGCTTATTAGTGATGGGCGATACCGATTACCGAGTACTCGGTATTCGATACCAGCGATACCACAAACAGCGGTATCGGTATCGATTACTGACGAGTATCGTTCGATACTTGCACCCTTTTTTAAACGACTTGTTTAATTTCACTTCTTGGTTGAATAAGACTTAATAAACCACTAAAATAACTCTTAATATTCCAAATGTGGTGCGCCAAGTCATGTATAGAAAATATTTATTACGTTTGTATTTATTTTTGTATCGAAATAGGTATCGGTATCGGCCGATACCGATCTTAAAAGTATCGGTATCGCCATCGGTATCGAATTAAAAATCCTGGTATCGCCCATCACTAAAGCTTATGACTTCAGGCATGCAAGGGGTTTGCTGGAGGGGGCCCGGCCCTGGGGGTGGTCAAAAACGATATCATAAAACAAATTTTACTTCGTACACAGCTTCATATCATGAAATATCATTGTATTCAATTTTCTTTCCAATGTTCTTAGACCTTCTTACGTTTATCTCAGTTTTGTCCTTACAATAAAGCTCTTTCAAGTTAAGTATGAGCAAGTCTAAATATTCGCCAAGGCTGTATTTTTTACGCATTTTCTGCCACCAGTGACTTCACTGACCGGAAGTAATACCACCGGTTATCAAGGCTGTCGGAAGTAAATTAATATTCCAGTTGGGGGGGGGGGGCAAGAATAAATCTGATTTGCTTTCGCTATTAATTAGTTGCCCATCGCTAAAATTCTACATCATAAGGATTTTTTATAATCACGATGATCATCATCGTGATTATAAAAAATCATGTTTTTGATGTACTTCATGATCTGCTTGAAAATTTACTAAACGGGCCTAAACAGTAGCAAAAATGTTCTTTTAATAAAAGAAATCGGAGTGCATGAACTGAGTAACGACTTGCCCAGATTTCATGCATCGTTTCCTGGTGAGCTACCTAACCTACCTTTGTAGCCGGCTATTTATGGCAGCAAAAAGAAGGCGTGGCTTCAGTGCACATTCAATTTTGTTCACAAAGGCAGTTGCGGCTAAGATATAAGTCCATGGTTGAAGCTAGGAGTAAACTATAAGACTGTTCAAATACGAGTCGTTCGCGTCAACAAACGAGTGAGAACGCTTATTTTGTGTCATTTAATACACAATATATTAGTGAGAAGGCCTATATTCTCACAACAGCATTACGCATTAGCGGGAAATGTTTAATCTAATATCAATTTGTTTCATCCAATATTACAGTAACTATCAAAATGCAAATTAATTAAATTTACCAAATGTGCACTTTTGTCACCTTTTTCAATAATTTATCATAAAAATTCAGTAGCAATATCTTAATTATCGGGGGGGGGGGTGAAAATGGAATATTTTTACTCAACATTCAATATCCCTCACCTCCAATATTCCTGAAATACTATCCGTTCCCATTTCGTTTCAAATATTCATATTCTTACTACAACTTAATTATACTCATATTCCTACGAGAAATATCATACATATTTCCTGCCGGCTGAAATCAGATTCATATTCCAACTATAGCTAAAATTGTAGAACTTAGAATTCACTGAATATTCGGTTTTCAAGCCGGAAAAATATATGACACGCAACAGTCCTTTGATCATGCTTAACGTCAAACGTATAGATGAACACTGACTTAATGCGATGTCCGGGTTAATGTCATGTCTCACACAGGACAATTTTTAGCGACGAGTTAGCGACAATGCAAGTCGTTGGCGAGCCAATAAATTTCATTAAAACATAATCTACATTGCAAATTGTCGCTATTTAAACATTGTCCCTTGGGAGTGTGTTTGTAATCGCGTGAAATAGCGCATTTATAATTTCGCGCGCGTTTATGCACGCAACAATAATATACACTATTTCTGAAATTAATGAAGATATTTTTGGCGTAAATATTTTTTTACAAATGTCGCCCTATATTGACGGACAGGTGTCACAGCGGTAGCGTCGCTCCGAAAGAGATTCCCCCGGACAATATCCCCCCTTACTACATTAGTAGTGCGTTGTCTTCAATATTAAGCTTGCTTATAACAAGACTGACGATTAAAAATTTCTTGACTACATGTATAAACCTGAGCATTTTTCCTTCACTTCGTATGGGGGGGGGGGGCACTATCTGCGGAAATACAATTTATATGGGACACCATAGGTTTAGGGGGGCAAGGGTATTTTCGTGACTCGTGATTAGCAATTATTCGTGCTTCGTGATTCGTGATTTAAAGAAATACCATTCCGTGAATCGTGATTAACATGCGTGCCGTGAATCGTGAAGAGCTAAAAGGCTAGCTAGGGTCTTGAATTTACCAATATTTTACCCTAACTTGTGAATGTTTACGTTTAAAACTCGGCCCAAAATTAATATTATGGGGAAAAAATGAATAAATTTGCTTCCCGCGGTTGTCTTTCTGAGGTTTCTTCGTTTCATCGGTAAACGTGTACCTCTTCGTAAACTTCGTGAACCATCGTACGACGCTCGTAATGTTTCGTAATGTCTCGCAATAATTTTCATAGTCCTTTAAACGGCTCTGATGTTAAAGTCAGTATGAGTTAAATGGTTTCAGACTTTGTTACGCCTCTGTGTTTCTAAAAATCGTGAAAATGAAATTTTGTTTTTCGTGACTCGTGAAATTGAAAAAAGATCTTCGTGATTTCGTGACGAGACCCCCCCCCCTTGACCCCCCCCCCCTCATCCATTAGTGGATAGTGTCTGGGGGGGGGGGACTGTCTGTGGGAAGAAACTATCCGCTGTGACTTACATCGACCAATTAATGTTGCATCAGTATACATTTTGTATTATTACAATATAATGCACTGCAGTTCTTGACTCGGATAGATGATCCATCAGACATGATCTATCTCTACTTCAGTCTAGTTTCTTGTCAATCGTAATCGGGCGAATATTAAACATCAATAAATTATATTTTTCGCAGTATTTCACTACTGTCAAAATAAATTAATACGGTATACACGACCGAATTAAGCGAGCTAAATTGAATATCGATAAATTATAATTTTAACAATGAACGACATGTGAACTGGACGTAAATGCCTGATCGAATCATAACTAGATTGATTCGTGTCTCAACTCGACATTGACTAGAACGTCGCTGTTGTTTTTCGGTCTTGACTACAAAATGAAATTGTGTAACTGTTCAAAATGTTTGAGGTAAGTCAAATGTTCAGTTTCGCGCACATAAGTAAGAACCATTTTTTGCAGAAAGAGATAAGATATATTAGCTCATCTATTTTCGCTCATTAAACGAAGATAATTAAACTTTCCGTAAAAATTAACTCCTAAATTTACAAATTTCAATATATTTTCATAGCTTCCTAACCGTAATTCTTGCAACGCTACCTTTGGTCATCATATCATCAATGTTAACGTTCAACAGTCAGCCACAATTTACCATAAAAGTAGAGCAGAACAAGGCATTTGCCAAATCTTGTCATATTGGAAAGGCCATCAAGACAAAAAGTGGAAATATAGCAGATTGTCTGGAGCTCTGTCTAGAGAACTGTCTGTGCCAGTCGTTTCAAATTTGTCAAAATAAAAAATGTCAACTGTGTTCAAGTCACAAGGACGAGAACAGTTCATTGCTGCATAACAAAGATGGCTGCATCTATGCTACGTACGAGATGCGACATTTCTCAGAAAAGCTTCAGGTAAGCATACATAACACTCAAGGCCGTAGCGACCGGTAGGTGTGGGGTATCACCTCCCCCCCCCCCTTCCCAGCAATTGGGGATAATATATTTCAGGTAAATGTTAGCCTGTGTTCCAGTCCACTACACCGTTGTGTGTGCACATACACAACGGTGTAGTGGACTGGGACACAGGCTAGGTAAATGTCAGATATGTTTGGTTAAAAATTCAGTAACTATCGTGTCTGAAATCCGCGAAAAATTAGCATTGAATATAAGATTTGGGTTAATAGTGGTAGAAATTAACACCCCCCCCCGCGTGAAAGCATCTTGTCGGCAAAATGAAGGATTTGTTCTCGTAGTCGGAAAAATATGAATTGGATAGGAAGGAAAAGAACTATAATGTTTGAGAAAATCAGAAAATTATAATGTCTCGAAAAAAATTTATGTTGAATGCCCCTCCCCCCACGCCAGCCCTGGAAAATTAGAAAGCATATTGTGTGAAAATTTTATAGAAATTACCAAAAAAAGTTTGGAAATTAAACTTTTACCAAAATTCAACTTTTACCAAAATTTTAATTTACCCACTTCCGTATAGTGTCTATCATTTACGCACGATATACTACATTGCACTACTTACGAAGAGTTGCAGACTCATCAGTGCGAGTACCATCCGTGACGATTTACCATATGTGAGGGCAGTGAGGAACTCAACACTAACGTAGATTTAGGTTGTTGTGCTGGTAACAACTACATTTCCTGACACTGGCGGCTGGCATAACATATACATCTGCTAGCAGTTGCCAGCTTGTACTGTTTGTCTGTGTGCGAGTACAATGCAATCAACCAGCTGATCAATGCTAAATACTAGTCAGTAGGAAATAGGAATAAGAAGCCGCTTTTGAATGAAATTATTTATATACTTTACGATTTGAAAAATCCATAATTCACATTATTTTGAGAAAGGTTTGAAAATTTGAAGCTTTAACCGGAGGAAGAAAAATAAAAACAACCTATAGTATACTCAAGTATTTTCTTTTCCCATGATCAGTGTGATGGCATTTGTTCAATATGGTACAACTGTTGTAAGCAACCTGGACTCTGTTTGAACAACGGAGTATGTCTCCCCAATCCACCGAGTACCAAGAAAATCAGGAAGCGTTTCAAGTGCAAATATCCGGATGGTTTCCATGGGAAGAGATGTGAGCATCCAATCACGGAGTAGAGACATTCAGAGCTGGAACTGGCCGTTGTATAAAACACTGCGGAAACTTACGTTTTCCTGTACCCACTTTTTTTTTAGGCGACCGGGCAAAAAATGATCAACTGCGCGTTCTCGGCAAGTTCCGCAAGCAGTTAAAGCGAGTCGCCATCCAATGGGATGCATGCATCTAGTAACTTGGCTTTTGACGTGGAGTTTGGTATGACCTGGACTCTTATCCAAACATATAGTTTCAATAATACCATATTAATCTCAAGTCAGTTTAATGAAATATTCACCACACTTTACGAAAACACGCCAATCAGTGAAAACACACTAGTATGGAACGGCTACCGCCTAAGCAATCCGCGAATGCAAGCCATCAAGGAAAATTCAGAATTTCTCCTGTTTACGTGCAACTATGAGAAAAGCCTAAGTCTATATGGGTCGGACTACGTCGAAATTTACCTCCCAGATCTTGAAGGTGATGTATTAGATGGCAATGGGACACTCGATGTTTTCATCGAACGCGGTCACATTGGAGGACAATATTTTGGCGATTGCCACACTTGGTTGGCACAAAATGCTCGAGAAATATTGCATGTTGATATGTACTATGGTTATCCAGCTTGTAGTGAGTTTACGACCCCCTCGATCACCAATTATACCCTCTGCAACTTGTTCCACTATTTTGGTAACTATCAGTTTGGTCACAATTGTTTGGATGTAGCCCATCGTTGTGTCGAGAGTCCTGAATCTACGACTCAGCTTTGGTTTGGACATTAATATATAATAATAATAATAAGATGACAATAATAATAAGAGCAATAATAATGCACTCATTTTCATTCGGTGATTTACACTCAGTAATTCTCGTCCAGGCCCAACGCTTTAAGGTGGCTCGATTATTGGATACTGTAATTTCAAATACAAGAATTTCGAAAACAAAACTTACTTAAAATAATGCACGAGAAAACTCTATCGAGCCAATACAAATTAAGTTTTAAATTTGATTGAACTTTTAAATTACATGTAAAACACCTTTACCGACTTTTCATATCTTGCTTATAGTTTCTGAAATATTCTAACTGAAAACAATGGGCTGTCCGCCATATTGGATTAGATTTTGATTTCATTAATACATTAAATTATTCATTAACGATTATTTTGGTGACATCGAAAAGCAGGTCATATAAAAAGTTATGGTTGCATGTCAGTCAATTTGTTAACCAAAATAGTGACCAAAATATAATTGTGGACCCATAATGATCATTGCATATCCGTGCTTGTGAGGTAACATATGCATGCATATCCACAACAATCCAAGATGGCGGCCAGTTCAGTGATTTATGATAATTTCGATCGATCAGAATATTTCAAGAACTAAGCAATATTTGAAGAAGTTGTAAATAGTTTCCCCATAATTTTAAACGTTTTTCAAATAAGACAACAAAATAAATTTTTATTGCCATGTCCTATTAAAACTATATGACATTAACTACACAATATAAAATTTTGCTAAACAACCGTTTAAAGGTGCCCTACAGTCCGATCTGCGCATGTGCACAAAGGAGCCCACTTTTTATGATACAAACAGTTTAACTATGTTTTGGGTTCTTGCAAAGCCTGATTGTTGTTTCTTGATCATTTATTATACTCTAGAAGCTTGAAAATATAAAAGTTGTCGAATAAGGCTTTGTTTACATACGGACTGTAGGGCACCTTTAAATAAAATCATATACACTAAGTACATATTTTCTTTTGAATGATAATAGAGATATAGATAATGAAGTCTATTATGTCTGCATCAAGTTTTCTCTAACCTTATTCCGCAATTGACTATGGTTGAACGAAACCTATAGAAATCTATTATCTTTAAACTATGGTTGGGCTTTGGCGAGAGAATTAATCAGTATGATGTTCACACTCCGTACTATTAATCCTTAATTGTACTCGCCATCGCATGATTACCCATAGTACTAATTTGTTTTCACAGTTTGCAACCTTTTTAAATGTATCGGTTGAGAAACACAACATGATAGTTATAAATATTGTCAATTTAAATACATGCAATTATCATTAGTGATGCTGTCAAATATATTGACGCCATATTTATACCCTTAAACTATCAACATTTCCCTGCTGGCAGAGTTTTCTATTTGTGCAGGAAACCGAAGGAGAAGATACCTCTGCCTAGATCTGACCATCGATATCTTACATATAAAATATCTATGGAAACAGACGATAGATAATACCAGATATACCTATCCCAATGATTTTCGTGTCCGCGATTTTCGCGAGGCTATCACGCCAGATTAGGCGTGCGACACTTATACTGCCAAAATGGCGCTTACTGCCAAAATGCGTGATTGTTCACGTTTCATGGCGCGGATAACACTTACTGCCAAAATGGCGGCCAATGCGTGCTCATAAAAAATCGCGGACACAATTTTGACTGAGTGAGACATCTGGTATTATCTATCATCTGTGCTATGGATCTGACACGTTATGGGTCGCGCATGTGCAAAAATTGCCATGACAATGAGTGATGTTCACCACGTGATATCTAACCGGTTTGAAGGCTTACCGTTGTTTGAAGGCAAACAAATTTATCCCGATAAAACAGAAAAGATTGCTTTCTTTTGTTCTTCTGTCACTTCTTTCACAGTTTCATCTTTGAAAATATCAATTACATAACTTAGAGCACTTTCAAACAACATGAAAAACCTCGAAATGACCACGCTGTACAAGTCGCCATTTTGACACTCCGGGCTCAATGTCATTACAGCGTAATTCAGCTCTGAGCATGCGTACTATTTGTTTCTCTAAACCGGTTTCAGAACTTGTTTTACAAACTGGTTTGACTCGTCCACGATCATGGACTGAGGAAGTGTCAGATCTAGGCAGAGGTCTCTTCTCCTTCGCTTCCCAGCGCAAATAGAGACCTCTGGCTCTGCCAGCAGGGAATATCAACATATGATGATCTGGAAACTAAACAGAAGTCAAGAATTCATTGTATTATGTTTTGGTGTGAGTTTATGTTAATTTCTGTACGGTCACGGTAATTGAGCTCATTTTTGTATAATAAAGTAATCGTCCAATAAGGATAGCTGAAATGAAACGTGTAACCACGATGAATAACATTTAATGAAATTGAGACAAATATATGTCATATATGACTTGTGCGCGGTGAGGCACAGTTCCGCATCAAACAAAGGCCTGAAGTTTGCTGGGTTTCCAGACCATCATATCTTGACAGAATACATGTTATGCAGCAATATAAGTTAAACTTATTGAACTTCCAACATCATTTTCTCTTTGGCGTATAATCTAGAATCTCATTTTAGTATAATTTATAAATAAAGTTATCCTCTTGAGAAACGTTTCAAAAATTTGAAAATTTGACTAATAGAGTCATAACCGAATGAAAAATATATTCATTAATTTTGGGTACCGGTGTGTTACGTAACATACAAAAGATTCTCCCCTTATAATCTAGTGGCCAAACCATAGCTGAGTGGTGGATCCACTATTATTTAGACACCCATGTGTTCTTTCGAAACATGCATTAGCAGTATATATTGTAATTACCAAAAACTGAAAAATATGAGTGAGTGTTGCAATGAGACGTAACATACAAAAGATTCTCCCCTTATAATCTAGTAGCCAAACCATAGCTGAGTGGTGGATTCACTATTATTTAGACACCCATGTGTTCTTTCAAAACATGCTTTAGCAGTATTGTAATTACCAAAAGCTGAATAATATGACTTAGTGCTGCAATGAGACTCTGTGGGCGTCGGAGTGATCGCACAGGTATAAAGGTAATTTGACGCATGTAAGTTCATAAAATGATGTTGATGCAAATAAAACAAACAGCCATCTTTTAATTTCATTTGTCCTATTTTTCCATGTTGTATCGGAACGTAGGAACTGTAGCCATCTAAATCAACGACATTTCCCTGTACATCTTTTAACAATAATTGAAGATAATCTGATTCTCTTACATTTTGAGTTTTCGCGTGATGATTACAGGTGAACCGTAAGAGGACTGAATTTTTTTCGATAGACTTCATTCTTGCCTTGCCAAGCCGATAGCCACGCCATGCTGGGTACTTTTCACCGACAGGAATGTCGTTAAATAATGGTTTTTGGAACTGTTTAAATTTTGTGGCGCCAGACCCGTTTGCAAAGCTGAAAGATTGCACCAAAGTCCAAGCACCATCAGAATCAAAATAACAGAATACTTCATACACCGACTTGAGATCAGAATCCATTACTTTATATATGCCCGATTTTCGAGAACCATTAGCATATCCTTGGCATGACGTGATTGGCTGGTCACAGTTGTGTCCATGATAACCGTCAGGGCATTCGCAGGTAAAACGTTTCCAGGGCTGTTTGAGGGAGTTGATTGGTTTACATATTTCGTTCTTGAGACAGAGACCCGATTGTTGACAGCAATTGTATTTCATTAAACAACTCATACCTAAACATTGTTCTTCCAATTTCTGTAAAAATATAAACACTTTTAGAAGCCTTGACTTTGCGTATTTTTAAAGAAAATTTTAGAGAATTTTTTTTTATTAGGGTGGTAAAGGGAACGTCGAATCATGCATGTATCACGTGAAAAAAACAGGTATAGATATGAAAAACATTCCACATGTAAGAAATCAAACTATCTCACGAAAATTAAGAATTTTATTTCTATATATCTTGGGAAATTCATTTTTTATGCACCTATCATTGTTTTCCCCCTGAGGGGGGTGGGTGTGGGGTGCGGGCGACCCAGGGGACTTTGACCACACTATGAAGCCCCAGTGAGGGGAATTTGACCTATGCATCAACTAGCTCCCAGAGTCGGGAAATTTTGACATCCGCCATCTTGAAAGTTTGTGCGGTTTTGCCATTAAAAGGCCTGGTAACAAGTATGGCGGAGAAGCAAGATCAAGTTTCATCGAAAAAGGTATTTTATACACAGTGTATCGATTTTTACCAAGTTTTAAACCAGTATAGACTGTATGTTCGCGTTGGAAAACATGTGTGCCTTGTTATCTTAGGAATATAGTGGGGAATTTTGACAGCCATTCCTTGCCCAAACAGTGGGGATTTTAACTACAAAATTTAAAGATGTCAAAATTTCCCTGGGTTGCCCGCACCTCTCAGGGGAAAACATTGATAGGTGCATTATATCTTGAGTATTTAATCTTAATTCAAACACTCATTAATAATTCATAGGCTTATTGGCAAATCATGTCAACCATAATGTGTCACGTGCAGTGGCTTTAAACCTGATAAAACACTCCTAATTAGTATTCTTTATATAAAGAATACTAATAAGGCAGTACCTATTGTAGTCGTGTCCTCATTAGTATTCTTTGTATAAAGAATACCAATAAGGCAGTACATCTGTTGAATTTGTAGTCGTGTTTGAAGCCGTTTAATAAACTCGCAGGTTGTGTTTTATTAGGTCTTTAATTTAAACCTATTGAAACACTCCTCTCGTTTATTAAACAGTACTTCTTAACCCTTTTTACGCTTTCGAAACTACTTTTACGGCTGCAAGCTCAACATTGGCAGACTTAGCTTTTAAAACTACTATAGATATATATATATATCTAGCTGGCAAAAATCATGAAAATACATCAGGCATGCAGTAAAATGGTTAGATCCGAGGTTTTGCTCTTCTTCACATTCGCATTTCTCACCACTCGTCCATGCAGTCTTTGATCTAATGGCCTCAAATAAATTTTCGCTTCCTAGCCAAATACTGGCCCTAAATTATCACACATTTAAATCACGTTTTACAAGACTAAAATCCGTCATTTTACGAGAACAAACATCGGGAACTCACGGCTCAAGAAAATACACTGGAAAAAATAATGGTGAAATTCAGACCATGGAATTTGCGATTGCACACTAAATCCATAGCATATCCAAACTATTGTCATGCTTAGCTATATCTATAATATGGAATATACACTAAAAATTAGATTTTCCTGTTTTCAACTAAGATTCATACTATTTCCGTAGATATACTACCATTTAATGTGTACATGTATATATATATATATATATATATATATATATATATATATATATATATATATATATATATATATATATATATATATATATATATATATATATATATACATGTACACATTAAATGGTAGTATATCTACGGAAATTCATGAATAATTCATGAGCTAATTAGCCAATGAATTTCTTAAAATCTCGTCACATGATGACCCCTATATATCGTGATATAGGTCGGTGTGTGCTGATTTAAAATTTATATATAGACCACATGTACCTTTATGATAAAGGTACATGTACCTTTATAAAGCATTCTTTAACAAAAGTTTATTAATCTGTTCCTAATAAAAACTCAAATATTCGAGAAATCAATAAATACTTTATTTTTCGAAGTTAAAGGTAATGTTACAATTGTTAAACACGGGATTAACAACCCTTTCATTTTTTATTACACACCACTTTAAACTCTTTAAACCCAACAAACTTGCTTAACTAAAATGCTAAGGACGCTTCATTCTTCTCCGCCAGCGATGTAGTTAATGTCTGGTTTGGGCCAATATCATCAGTTTCATGACCACCATCGTCGATCTTCACTTCTTTAACCTTTCTAACAGCTCTCCAGGAATCAGAAATCGTCAAAGCCCACTTTGTCGCGTATCTTGTTCTTGGCGACATCGATCTTTCGAGCAACGTTTGCTCCTCTTCAGCAGTTCGAGCGCTTCGAAACCGACTCATTAACAAAACAAGTCAAATATGTTCAAATTTCCATTTGAAAACTCCGTTTAACGACTTGTATGACTTGATAATTAATCCAGTCATTAATTTGCTTGCTGATCAATGAAGGGAAGAATCGTAAAACAATAGAACTGATATAGTTAGCATTTCTTATTATTTCATTGGGACCCAAAACAAAAGGTGAATTTTAGAAGTCATTTATAAACCTCGTGATTGGGCTTTATCGGTGCCTATAGCCGCTCGCCTTCGGCTCGCGTCTATATGCACCGATAATGCCCTCTCACTCGGTTTATAAATAGTACATATATATAAATGGCTTTGACTTTTATAACATTTGAATAATCTTTACAAAAGGATGGCAGAGTTCTCTTCTACACTATACTAACATATTATCATGTGATTCAAAGAAAGTAATATGATTGGCTACTTGTAAAATTAAAAATGTAATTTTTTAGCATTATCATAATTCATTGTAATCAACGTATTTGCACACCTGCAGATGACCTGCCAAATGTCGCACCTCGTAGATAGCATAGACGCAGTCATCTTTGTCATGAAGCAATGAACTGTTCTTTTCCTTGTGACTTGAACACAGTTGACATTTTGTCTTGTTACAAATTTGAAACGACTGACACCGACAGTTCCCCAAACAGTGCTCGAGACAATCAGCTATGTTTCCACTTTCAATGTTGAACGTTCCAATATGACAGGATTCGTCAAATGCTTTGTTTTTCTCAGCTTTTACAGTGAATTGTGGTTGACTGTTGAACATTGATGCGTTGCTGTAAGACAGCATTGCCAAAATAACGACGGCTAGACTATGAAATAAATTTATTGGTTAACCCTTGTAACAAAAACTTTGAAATAAATTAGAGAGTAGATATAACTATACATGCATTATCATATACTTTTATAGTAGTTTTTATTTTAATTCGCAATTAGTGATTATTGATCCCTGGGGTTTTCCAAAACCTTTTGCATGGCATTTTCAAAACAACGTTATATAGGACTTACTAATTTTTTTTATACCTATATATGCGTACGAGCAAAAAAAATTAGGGGGACGAAAAAAAAATTGCCCGACATTGATTAATAAGCCCATGGGCTTGTTGATATATGAATATATAGAAGGTAAATAGAAGGAACATATCTCTAATATGCAGACCCGCGGAAATAAAGTCAATCCTAAAGGTCGATTTCCATTGCAGTCGCTTTGCCCGCGCGGGCGGAGCGAACATTACTCAACTTTCTCTCTAGTTGTCTAACCTGTGCATTTTTTGTCCGCCTGACTGCTCGCGGACACGCCATGAAAGTTGAACTACATTCAACTTTCTTGGCGTGCCCGCGCGCGACTGATTTTTCACGTGATTAAAATTGGTCGCTTCACCCGCGCGGGCAAAGCGACTGCAATGGAAAATGGCCTTCAAGTGATAAATAAAATATTATAGAACTATATTCACAAGTATATAGTTCTGGAATTTCATTTTTTCTTTAAGATACATTGAAAACACCTCGCTCTATAATGCATGAAGTTTGAAGTTATAATAAAACAAATTTCAATCTGTCATTCAGTTGTTCAAACTATAAACATTATCAATATCTCAACATAATAAGATCATGACAAAATGGAGACGGGCAGGTCAGTTTAGCAAATTGGACGATTGTTTCAAGGTATATGCATGCAGTGCATGTTTTCACTATATTTTCGAAGGCTGGATGGTTAAAGGACTTATGACACGAAATTTGATGAAACTGGGATTCGCACTATAATTAAAAAAGGAAACTTTAATTTTATAACTAAAGTTTGATATATAGTAGTATACCAATGAACGGTCAATTTAAGAAAGCTTGAAAAAATCACTATTCGGTGGATAGCGTTATCCGGCTTTCGCGTATAAAAATATCGCGGCGGTAGAGGTGTTTCCTACTTAGTGCCAATCTGAAGGTAGACAAACTGACGCGCTGAACCTAATAAGTTTGTAACTTAAACTTCAAACATTTAAAGCATTCATTTGACTTATATGGCTTATTTAAAGTTTAAATTTTGCTCCATTTTACACTCAAGAAAACGTCAGGAATTGTCTCTTAGTGAAAAGCTACGTTTTGTATTGTTGTGTTGTTTGAACTCAGTAAAACCTCCTGACCTGGCCCTGTATTTTGAGCTCTATGTCAATATCGAACTGAATAAAGTTCATCTATAATACTATATATATTCTAATTCGTATTACTTATAGCAAAACATTAAATCTTACCTTAAGCGTCTTTGGGACATTTTCTGCAAAACTATTGTCGGTATCCTCCAAGCAGTAACTGCCAGAAGCTTATTTGACATGTGTTTCATCGCACAGTAAAATTAAAACGTCATTGCATGTTGGGCGTGTTGGCTAATTTAAATGCAGAATGAAATAAGTAATTATTCATGGATTAAATATTTTCTTTAGTAGCAATACATTCTGATTATTTTGTCGTCAGCGACAACATTTATAATTTTATATCGAAAATTATTAAGCTATAGCCAAGCATCTGCTCGTCTGTTATATATAGGGCGTTCTTGGCTTCTATACCTATAGCAATTAATCACGAAAAAGTAGGAAATTATATCTCATCTGCGAAAACCTGCTGATCCAATATACAGTTCTGTTAATTTAAATAATGGAATAAAAGCAATCATATAGGACTAATCCATTACATCACACTGCGAATGTTAAAACGTTCAAAGTTTCACACAGACCTAAGACTAATAGCCTAATATATACAATTTCAATACAATTGTTCATATATGAGGTCCAAAAAACAATGCAATAGCTGTGTAAAAATCTGCGAGATGAATTTAATCTGAGATATGAATTTTGACTCTGCATGGATTATTAAAATTGGTCTTTTAGAAACAAAGAAACCGATTAATATTTAAAAACAGCTGATGCATGATTTCAATGGGTGAACCAGACTTTATTTTACAACAGCCATAACATCGGTTCTACTTCTGGCGTCTACTGGAACAGTAGTCGCCATACTGTGCTGTCGACAAAAAGTTTAGATCTTCACTTCTCCTGCGAACAGGCTCTTTCGTTAGGTTAAAGCCCGCGCATCTACGAAAGTTTCCGAACTGTTTACGATAAATGGTTTTATCATTCATCATTAATCATTCTTTGTTTTTGATCCAGTAGACGCCATGTACGCTACAACGTACCTATTTTTTAATGATCTTACGCCCATATTCTAAAAGCTCACTCACACTCTTAGATTATATTTTTGACGCCCACTAATAATTAGCTGTGTGTACAAAGCTATTGCAGTAGTTTCGGACACCCTGTATATACATACGCAAAAAAATTTTAATTACTTGCAATTTTTGCCGGATGTTCTAATGGGAGTTTCTTCTTCTAACAGATGTGAACGAGTAGACGACGAAACCACTGATCTCAAAACTAGGACTGGATCGAGTATCTGCTATAAGTCAAGCCAATGGCGGCCATATTGTTACATTGAAATGAATATAACTGGAACTTTAGGGAGTGGTCATTATTTATGGGGAGGGGGGGTTGGGAAATGGGGGGGGGG